TGGTAGGATCAAGGATTAAGAATATCCCACTTCAGAATGAGGAAAGGGGAAACACAGGAGAGAGAAATGTGTTTCTAATGTTTCTTCATACTAATACCTGAAATTTCTAATTAATTTCCAGAGTTCAATATTCTAAAAAAACAGTTACAGCATTTCTACCTAATGTAATGATGCCATAAACTGGATGTAAAATCACAGAAATATTTAGCATTTCTGTAGCACATTTCAAGTGCACACATATGTAATGCTGAACGGAGACATGCCCAATTTAAGGTGCTTGTTCTAGCCCTAAGTGGCTTAGAAGCAGGATACCTGAAGGACTGCCTGTACCTCTTTGTTCCTACCTGACCCCTAAGCAGCCCTCCTGAAAGAGCCATCCTCCAACAGGGTAAGGAGAATGGCAACTAGAACAGGGGCCTTCTCAGTAGTTGCATCCCACTGACAGAATGGCCTCCTGAGGGCAGTTCACCTGGCGCCTCCACTGCAATCTTGTCCAGGAAAAGAAAGGGGAAAAAAAAACCTTTATTCTCCAGACATTGTAATAATTGATTTTATACTGTTTAATTTTAAAGGTATATAGTTTTAAATTGCTCTGTTTCAACATACTATATTAACCTATATAGAGATATTAACCTACTCACACCTAACTCTCAGCTGTATATTGTTATTGTCTATCATATATTGTTATGTGTTTCTGTTTATTGCTTGTTTTATTGTTGTTATTCAATGTTTTACTCTGTTTTTATTTTGTTTTTATTGTTACGAATTGTTTTTGCTGTAAACTGTTTAGAGAGCCCTAGGAACCAGTAACATGGAATCTAAATTAAATAAATAAACAAACATACAATCCTTCAACAATGCTGTGACATTAACAGCAACTTTGTACATTGCAGCATGGCAGAGAAGTGGCTTTTCTAGAGCTTTGCACTTCCATAGTACTTAGACACAACATCATGTGGACTAAGATTGTTCCCATACAACCAACCCATGAGATCAGCAGGCAATAACTTACACTGCTTCCACAAAGGCAGAATTGACCAGCAGTACCAATGGAACCAATGGAATGCGCTCCCCAGAGAGGTCAGCCTGGCGCCGAAAAACAACGACGGCGCCAGGCTAAGACCTTTTTATTTAAGCAACATTTTAAATGCTAAATACAATTGAATTTTATCTGGCCAGGGCGGCTTATTTTATAATGTGTGTTTTAATTAAGATTATTTTATATGGATATTTTAACTTATTGTTTTATCTATGTTGTAAGCCGCCCCGAGGCTTCGGCAAATGGGGCGGCATAAAAATGTTTTAATAAATAAATAAATAAATAAATAAATAAACCAGTGGTTTCTGAAAAACCAGAATAGAGAATAACACTTGTTTCCAGAATGGGGCAGGTCAGCAAGGCTCTCAGAAGACAGAAAAAATTAGGAAAAGACCGGTTGCCTATCTGCAACTGTACTGCCTTGAGTATTCACTGGTGTACTCACAACATATGGGCTCTGCACCTGCATCAACCCCACTGAAGGAACGTCTATAGCTGAGGAATTTTCTGGAAGAACCCTCTCCCATCATCCCAGTATGCATATTCCTGGTGGGTTTCCGTCTATTGCTCAGTTCCTTGAAACTGCCCTGGAATTATGTGGAGCCACATTACCAATATCTACATTGGCAAGGACACCAAAGAGGGCTGTAAGTCGGCTGTGTAGATGTATGAATGACAACTTAAAGAACTATAGTTATAGGTAAGCTACCTTTCTTCTTCCTGATCAATGTGCATCACCTACTGAGCTGCTACATCCAACACAGAAGAAGGGAGGTGCCATGGGGCTTGCCAGGAATAGAGCCCACATGACCACCAGCTGTGCCCCTCTGCTGTGCCAGTCATTTGGGCTGCTGCACCTGAGCTGGAAGACTGGTCATGCAGGGCTTGCCAGGCCACATCCCCACGCAAGTGGCGTCCTTCTTCTGCATCACCTGCCGTAGCCTATGTGCTGCTGCACCTGACACAGAAGAATGTTGCCAGAAGCGTTCATCAGCTTCCTCTCAGCTCAGCTTGTTTTGCAACACCTGGCAGAGCACAAGTGGAAGTCTGTGAATACTAGAAGGATGGATTCTACCAACCCTGACTCTTACACAGGAGGCTCCAAATCAGTGAGACTCTTTACTGGACCGTGTCTCATGGCATAAGTTTAATGGTTACACATTTCAGAAAACATACAGCTGATGATGCTGTGCTACAGTCACATTCTTAAAAGACTGTACATCAAACAACTGTAGCATTACCAGAGATCCATAAAATTATGGCTTCCCGGGTATAATCTCTAAAGCTAAGAAAACAGGATGGGGTGAAATGATTGCTGAAGTCATTCATCTCATGCAATTGGGAAGATGAAGGTTCAAGGGAAGGATCTGAAGTGTTCTACATACCCTCACAAAGGTCAGTATCAACTTTGCACAATGTGCCGGAATCTCATGGGAGATGAGTCCAGACTTAACAAATCCAAAAAATCGGTGATGTTCAACAGTAAGTCCACAAAGGTTCACAGAGAGAGGGAGATATCTATGTTACATGGTTCCTGGCCCAAGAATGTGAACACTCAGGGCTCTTTCTTGCCCAGCCAGACCCAGACGTCCACATGACAAACACCAAACTCCACACACACACACAGTCAATGGAAAGCATGACAGTCTTTTCACAGCAAGGTCTTCATGAAATTGAAAGAAGTTAAGCATCCAAATGTTCCTTCTCATTAAGCTTCCTTAGGCTCAGGCAGTGATGGATCCAAATATGACGGTGCAGGCTGAGGAGAACAGATGTCCCTTAGCAACACTGCTAAGGCTGAGCAATTGTTTTTCAAGCAGGGAGTGGCTCTGCTACCAATCCACTAACTGACAGGTGTTTTAACAGAACATGAGGCTTTTTTTTCAGCCCGTATGTTTTACTTTTACCCTTCAGGAGTGAGGCTTCAGCCTCTGCAAGGTACTCCCTCCTTCTGACACATTCTCAGAACAGCTGCCAGTCCTCACGCCTGTAAATTCTGAAGACTACAACGGGGCAGGGGAGTTACTGTATTCCCCTTTGATTTCTCCTGAGAAGACTTGCTGGGCCTCTTTCACATCAGCTTTGACACTCTACAGTGTCCTTTACCATCCCAGCTGGTCACTGTCTCTCCATATCTAGTGACTATGTTATTCATGGTATCTGCTTGGAGAACAGGCCCATGTTATCTCGCACCTTCCAGAGATTATGTTGATGGTGTGAGAGAGGAATATTTACTCTTCTCATAATTGTTCATGCCTGACAGTGGAGAAATATCCTGAGGGCTGGCATGTTAAGCACTGGCATTTGCTGGTGTCCTTAGTGCCTGCATTGATAAAATAGTTGAAATAGCAGTGGGTTGTGAAACCAGAGGCAGCTGGTTCACAGATAGTGTGGCCAATGGGAGAGTCACTGGAAACAACCATGGGACCAAGACAGAAGCTGAAGGCTACACTGGTGGTATTCTCATAGGTAACAAACACAGTAATGGCACAAGTAGTGCAGCCAGAAAGAGTCCCTGGCTGGGGAGTTGGGAAATGGTAACTGATGAGGGATCATCATACTGTGCAGGCAAGGTCCTTCCATGATGCTACTGGGTTAACTTGATAACATTTATTCCTGTTAGCCCTCCATATCTGGAATCCCAGCAGTAGGTAAGTCTCAGTGGGCTATCCCATATCAATATCTTTCTTACTCTGACATCACAATTGGGAGCTACACCTTGGACACTTGTAATACCTGGCCACAAAACTTCAAATCTAGAGGATCTATGATACGGTGATGGGTGACCATACAGAGATGGGTATCTGCTCCAAAAACTCTCATGACAAATAGTCAGGAACATATTAGGGACATACACACCAGGATGGTGGAAGAAGTTCCTGTCAAAACTTCTTCATCTATAGAAGTTTCCCCAAATTGGGCTTGGCACAGGCATAAGATCTATAAGAGTGACGCACAAAGATCACAAAGAATAATTGTTTCTGCTTGTTTCCATACATATTTTAGGAACGTCTTATTCTTGTTGTGTTACTGATTCATTCTGCTATTGAAACACAACTAGTGGAAGTGCAGCAGCAATATAAGATGCCACCAAATATTATCTCCAGGCCAAGAATGAGAGTAGTGGCTTGCTTAAGGCTCAATAAATTCATGTTTATGAAATTCATGTTAGATTCAGACACTTTTCAGTTTATACAGTTCCAAAAGATATTTTCCACACATTTATGCAACCATAGTTAAGGCTGCAATCCTACACACTTTCACCAAAGCTTACTTTTGTGCCAATATGTAGAGATTTGTTCTGTAGAAAGATGTCAAGAACCAACTTAAAGCAAAAATTTCAAAAGAAGAAAATGAATAAATGCCTGTACACAAGAGGCCAGATATGATGGCATGCTATTCCGAGAAGATAGTCCCTGGAGACTCAGATGAATGGCTGGAGTTGGCCTACAGCTTTTTGAGGAGTTCACACCTCCACTTCCACATTAATTTCTATGTACACTGGGCATATTTGCATGGAGGCACCATTCTTCAAAGTGTCTTACGGCCCAATGAAACACTCAGTCCCATGAACCTGATTACTTAAGATTCAAATTCCAATTCTTTGTTGACTTACCTCTATTTGAGGTATTATTGGCACGGAGAAAGGACACTTGACAATGTCTCATGTATTGAAAGACAGAATACAATTATCACTCTCCCCACCAGCACTCCAGGTGAAACCACTGTGTTCTGAGATCCATATGAAAAGTCTTAGTATGGGTCAGTATATGGCAAGTTTCATACTTTTAACCCAGGGCACGGACATGTTTAACCACTCTGCTATAAGGAGAAACAGCACTGGCACAAGACAACATGAAAAGGAAAAAAAGAAAAGCACTAATTTTACACTGCTTCTCACTTATAACTTCTCTGCCTTGAACTCCATTGGAAGAATGAGGTAACAACAAATGATACTTACACTGGGATGTTTTCAAAGGCATCTTCAAAGTTTTCCTAAAAAAATGTAAAAACTAAATTAATAAGCTGCAGATAGATTTAATAAAGTTAAACTATCTTATATAAAAGACTGAGCTACTTTATATAGCAGACCAGGGTGCATGCCAGAAAAACAATGAGCTTCCTCACAGGCGCCCTGATGCCGATGCCACCATATCCTACTCTTTCTTACCAATTTCATTGTTTTCTATCAATTCTCCATTTGGAGCAAATAATTTAAATTAAAATGATGTTAAACTACAGCCTTGGGAATCAGCCAGCACAGTGCTTTGCAACATAAGCTAGTAAGTTAGTCTTGTCGGCTTCTCCAGTCACCAGCAGGCAGATTTTTTAAACAAGGCAGCAACAGGCAGGCAGGCAGGGAGAGGGAGAGAGAGCAAGAAAACTGATCTGCTGCCTTGCAAAATGCTTTCTTAAAAACCAGGAAGACAGTCTAAAGAGGGCTCTACATTCCATAGTCTATGGTGAGAGTTTTGCTTTCTAAAAGTTTCGTGATGCAAATGGAAGTGGGGGGTGGAGGAAGAGAATGAGCAGAAGTCCTGGTCTTTTCTGCTTCATGCAGCCATGAAAGTTTATTTTTTTATCTGCTGCACCTATACCTAGCAACACAAGGCAAGGGTAGGAGCACAGCACACATCTATTCGCTCTGGTGGCCAACAGAACTGGGGGGATGCACGCACACACATGCACAAACCCTGGCCCCACATCACATCTCGCCCCAGGAACCAAGAAGGATGTGAGAGTCACACTGTAATTCAAAATCTCTTTTGTCTGTACTTAGTGGTAGAATTGCTTCTACGGGGTTTTCAAATATGTACAGTACTAAATCAGAAGTATACTGATAGGCTGGGCCCCCTGTGAAGAAGGGTGGACTATTAATCACATATATAAATAAGCTTCTAATAACCTAAGTACTGTAAAAATGATAATGCCATATAATTTAATATTGTGATAAAACATTTTGAAGTTAATTTCAGAGGAGGGTGGGGCCAAAACTGAGCAAGGCAAGGCTAAAGTCACAATGGGGTAAAACCAATTTAATAGGGCAAAACAAAATTAATGCCTTTTTAAAGATACTGTACTAGTCTGCTCAGGAAGCATTTTTAAAATGCACAATAGCTGTGTGTGCATTTACTCAGAAATCAAGCGAAAGCAAAGGCAAAGTAAGCAACTCTCACTTCAGGTTTAACAAAGCACAGAACTAAGAGCAAGCCATTTTCTGCCTCCAGCCCTTCACCTGTTTGCTCAGGGAGAAGCTACAGCAAGCAATGAACAGCACACCACAGTTTTATGGATGTTTCCAAGGAATCAAGCCACTATAAAAAAAGGAACGATTTTGTTGCAAAGTAGTAGAATATCCAGTAAGGTTTAATGTTCCAAATCATCTGCCACCCCCTTTCCCCAGATGTTTGGAAGGCAAAAGACACTTACAGAGTTTAACAAAGACTTCTCAGCTTTACATAGGATGAGACATGGTCAAGCAGATTGCAACGACCCTGGGTTCACCCAGGTTCACAAGACTGCACACTCAAAGATGCATACACCCATATGTCTTCCAGTTTGCCATGAAGATCTCAGGAAAGACCGCAAGGTTGGGGATGTTGCAGAAGGATAGTTTATGTTACAGCTTGCAAAGATCAGTTGGAAAGGAAAAGCAGGAGAAGGAATGATTGATCAAGGGATAATTAAGGCAAATGGGTGTAGTGGCACTCTGAGCACCAGGAAAGAGGAGTGACAACCTGAGGAAGCTCTGCAGAAGAGCGGACTAGAGGGTCCTCACCTAATTTAACAGAATACACTGTAGCAATCTTCCCTATTGGTACAAATATTTATTTAATATTACAGAAAAGCAGGTTGCTTACCTGTAACTGATGTTCTTCGAGTGGCCATCTGTGCAGTCACACATATGGGTGCTGCGCCCGCGCAGTGCCTTTGGCCGGAAGATTGATAGCTACAGTTTTTGGCGGGAAGCTCCATTCCCCCTCCCCCTTGTGGCCTATAAAGAGCGGAGCGTCCGCCATTTTGTTCAGTCTTTGCGACCGAACGTACGGTATCTTAATGGATTTTTTTGTTTTTTTGTCGGTACCGTAAAGGAGATGGTCGGTACCGAAAATGCCCTCTCTCATCGACATTGAGCTGTCGATGCATCCACTCACTGACACCGAGCGGGGCCGGCAGGCAGGTTGTGTGACTGCACAGATGGCCACTCGAAGAACAGTTACAGGTTAAGCAACCTGCTTTTCTTCGTCGTGGCCTCTGTGCATCACACATATGGGTAGATTAACAAGCTTACCATCAAAGGAGGAGGGAAGGTGTCCTCATCGAAGGATGGAGGAGAGAACAGCTCTACCGAAGGAGCAGTCCCGTCGAGCCCGAACATCAAGACGGTAATGCTTGGCGAAAGTGCAGGAATTCACCCAAGTAGCGGCTCTGCAGACGTCATCAATCAGAACCCCGGATGCGAATGCAGAAGATGTAGCGACAGCTCTAGTAGAATGGCCTCGAGGAACTGAAGGCAATTTGAGCTTAGCTAACTGATAACACAAGACAATAGTGTGGACTATCCATTTAGAAAGCCTTTGTGGAGTGACTGGGTCGCCCTGATCTCTAGCCGAATATTTGATGAACAGTTTATTGGATCGCCGAATAGACTCCATTCGCAATCGATAAAAGGCTAAACAACGCCGAACGTTGAGGGAGTGCAAGGATCTTTCCAAGGGATTCGACGGCGATGGAAAAAAGGCAGGCAGTACAATGTCTTGTCCTGTATGGAAAGGTGTAGAGACTTTGGGCAAGAAAGATGGGTCGAGACGTAAAATGACCTTTTCTCTGTGGAAGTTTAGATAAGGAGGGTCGACGCGGAGGGCACAAAGTTCACTGGCCCTCTGGGCTGACGTGACAGCTACAAGGAACGCCATCTTCCAAGAAACTAATCGGAAATCCACAGTCGCCAAAGGTTCAAAGGGGGCCTTCATAAGGGTCTGTAGAACTACAGAAAGGCTCTACGTGGGCATAACCGGTCTAATCGATGGATTAAGATTATACAGTCCTTTCAAAAATCTCTTGAGGATAGGATGAGAAAATAGGGGTGATCCGTCGACTAAGCCACGGTAGTAGGCTATTGCGGCCGTATACACTTTAATAGAAGACGGCTTCAGTCCAGAGTGATGCAACTCCACAAGGAACTGAAGAATTTGTTCAATTGATGAGACAAGTGGGGAGAACGAATGAGACTCGGCGAAGGTGGAAAAACGTTTCCATTTAGCCGTATATGACTTCCTTGTGGACGGCTTTAGGGCAGAGTCGATAATATGCTGAATCTCAGGGTGCAAGAGCGTTGGGTTCGAATTCGACGGGGTCTGTCTTGAACCAGATGGTACGGAGAGACTGTGGCAGTGAGAGGCACCTGCATGGTTGGATTCAAGAACGGTCGAAGTAATCATCGATACCGATGGATTAATAGAAGCTGTCAGATTCGAGGCTCTTGAATCCGTCGTCGGCCCCAATGGAAGGACAATCATCGAATCCGCCACGCTGTCAGGTTCAATGAGAGCAAGTCCGGGTGACGAAGTGTGCCGTCCATTTGCGTTATAAGATATGGAAGTGCCGGAAGATGGAGAAACTCCCCGCGGGAGATGTTGAGCAGTTTCGCAAACCATGCTTGACGTGGCCACCAAGGGGCAACTAGTATCCCCAATGCATGGTCACTCACTATCTTTGCTATGACCCTCATCAGAAGAGGGATCGGAGGAAAAGCACAGAAGTTGATGTTGTCCCAAGGGATCATGAATGCATCCCCTAGGGATGCTTGTCCGATTCCCGCTCTGGAACAGTAAGTCTCGCATACCCTGTTCCGTCGAGTAGCGAATAAGTCCACATCGGGGAACCCCCAGCTCCTGAAAAGGTGGTTGCATGTACGAGGATCCAGTTCCCACTCGTGAGAAGTGAAGATGTGTCTGCTGAGAAGATCCGCATGCACATTGTCTGTGCCGGCCAGATGAACGGCCATCAGAGTAATGTGTCTCTGAATGCACCAGTCCCAAATTCTCATAGAAAGCCTGGCTAAGGTCAGTGACTTCGTCCCTCCTTGCTTATTCAGATAAAAAACGGTCGCTATATTGTCCAAAGTTATCTGAACGATCCTATGATGAAGGAGGTCTTCGAAAGAACGAAGGGCTTTGAAGACTGCCAGCAGCTCTAGGAAGTTGATATGATTTGTGGATTCTAGACGAGTCCACGTTCCCTGGGTAGACAGGGCAGAACATATCGCCCCCCATCCTAGGAGAGACGTGTCGGTACAGAGAGTTATCGAAGGAGGTCGCGCCCTGAAGGGGACTCCCATCACGAGATTGGTCGGTTTCAGCCACCAGCACAGGGAGTGGAGCACGGAAGGTGGGATCCAAATCCGTTTCGACTGTGGGTCTCTTTGTGGATGATACACCTTGTTGAAGAATAGTTGTAGTGGGCGAAGCCAAAGTCTGGCATGTGGAACTACGGCAACTGAGGAGGCCATATACCCCAGGACCCTCTGGATGGATCTCGCCGTAACCGTTCCCTCTCGTCGGATTCGATGGATATGGCAGGCAAGAGTCTGCTGTCTGTCCTGAGGGAGGAAGGCTTTCTCCAACATCGAATCCAAGCGGGCTCCAATGAAGGTGAGCGTCTGTGTCGGAAGAAGAGAAGATTTCTCTGTATTAATACGTAGGCCCAGACTATCTAGTAAGGTACGGGTTATGGATGGTGTCTAGGAGTCCTTCTCTGGATTGCGAGACCAACAGCCAGTCATCGAGGTACGGGTAAATTTGTATGCCCTGAAGGCGTAGGAAGGCACAGACAGGAGCCATGCATTTGGTAAAAACTCTCGGAGCCGTAGCCAGTCCAAAGGGTAAAACTGTGAACTCATAAAGTTGGTTTGCAACAGCAAAACGGAGGAAACGCCTGTAAGTTGGATGAATTGAAATATGAAAGTAGGCGTCCTTCAGGTCCAGTGAGGTGAA